TCCCCCCCCCCCCCCCTTGGCTCTTCTACCACACCGACAATCTGCAATCTGCAATCTACAATCTACAATCTACAACGCGTATTCCGTCATTCGCAGCAGTTTTATTCGGCTTTGGATATTATTCCACTAAATGGATCTGAACATTTTCTGTCTGCAATGTCTAAGAATTTTGAATAAAATGTTCAAAATATAAGTGTGCACTTGCGCCAGCATGGAGCTGAATCCTTGAATGGAATAAGAATAAGTATTATGGTGGTATCGCTAATTAGAAAACCATTAAATGTATTGAGTATTAAATTAAAGGATATCAGAAAAACTCAAACGTACTAGTATAAAAGAAGAAAGAAATGACGCCGTGCTCGATGCGAACGAATACTGACCTTCCTCTTGGACCGAGCCATCCTCTGATCCCTTGTATTTTCTGCCTCGCCGGGCGTCTGTTTGCCCCAGACGACCACCGCAATACTGGTATAGGTGAACAAGAGGACCACGAGTGGCACCAAATACTGAAGAACTAGCAGCGCGATCGAGTAATAGTATCTGAAATCAATCGAAAGATAATCTGGCTGCATCTCTGCCTCTTGATTATTGACACATTGATTAGAGCAGCATTTAATTATTTATCTATATTTTACAAATTTTTTACTTTACTATGGACATAAAAGTGTCAAAAAAAAAAGAAGGTTTTGAATCCGTTTTCATATTTTTTTTCCTCCGTCTCTCAAGACGAGGCTGACAAAAGGGTAAGAGGAGCAGAAGAGATCAGGCCGCAGGAGTCACGTTTGAACTCACCTTTGTTCCGTCGACGGCCAATCCTCCTGGCAGACGTACTGATTGCACATTACGTAACGGTCCGTCGGCTGATAGAGTCGCGACACCACAGCGATAGGGAAGGACGTGATTAAAGCTATCGTCCACACCGACAGGATCAGCAGCTTCGCTTGTTTCTTGCTCATACGCGGCTTCAGGGGCCACATTATGGCCATGTAACGGTCTATGCTTATCGCCACCAGCGTGTACGCGCTCACCAGGACCGAGACTGCCTGAAAAATCGATTTTAAATTTATAAGAATTTGCGTGCCGAAGAGGATAGGTCGTTCATTTGATTTATTTCCCTGTCACTCTAGAAATCAATTCGATAGGCTCGCAAAGTATGGGTAACGTTTGGATAAAGACGAATGCGAGCGACTTCATTGTCAGGCTCCGAATGATTGTCACCCTACAGTTTGTAGATCGGTAAGATGCGAAGAGTCACAGCACGCGGGCGACCTTAGCACCTGAATCACGTGCTCCTGTTTAACGTGAATTGTCCTGGCAGGTTTCTCAATGATCGCAGTGCGCAAGCGCAAAGTCCCCAAAACCTGAGCAGCCAATGAACTTGCGTCTACGCACCTGCGAGTAATTGACACTTGGACAGAGTTCCGATCCGAAGGGCCAGTACTGAAGAATTAGGGTGCTGATGAAACTGGTGGGGACGCAGAAGAGGGCCATCAGGATGTCACCGACCGCGAGGTTCACGATGAAGTAGTTGGTGACGGTCTTCATCCTTGGGCTGCTGTAGACGACGTAGCACACAAGCCCGTTGCCCACGAGGGCCATTACGAAGATCGTGCTGTAGAGGATGTAGATGGTCGCCTGGAACCAGGTGGCTGAGAGGATGCTGTCTTTAACAGGAAAGTCGTCGCAGCTGATAATCTCCAGAGTTGAGTTACGACTTGCGAGACCTCCCTCCCCTCCGTATTCCTCGATGGGACTCGAGCTCATCCTCTTCTCCGTGGACTGTTGCCTCTTGCCATTCTCACTTAAACCAAATCTGCAGAGATATACAATTATATTCGCTGATTGATGGTTCTCCGACTGTGGAACAGAGCATCCTGGCTATCATTAGACCAACCATTTGCTCTTCTAACATTAGCTATTAGTTACAAATAATTAGTTGCTCGTCACTCGACGCCCACGATAACACAATGACAGAGTTCTTTATCAAATGTTAACAAATCTCATATTGAGCCTCGAGGCGCTGTTTTCGAGGCAAAAATATTTGACCCAGTTTCGGCTTGGAAACTCTAACGAATCATTTTAGTAAGAACTCCAAGTTGAGATTCGTTTGAAGCTGTTCAGGTCTTGTTAAATTCAGTATTTGGCCTGAAAGTTATCCCTGTAGGATCTTGTAAGCTAAAACTGGTGTTACACTTCAGTCGGCAAACCCGAAAAACAAAGAACTGGAGGTTGTAGGTATAGGCTTGAATCGGTGGTAATTTTTCGACTCGTCTGGTTCCACATACAAAGTCAGGTTGAATGCGGTTGAATAAGGAATTTCAAGTCAACTGGAAAGTCTCCAAATTTCACAAGGACAAAGAAAGTGAATGGACTGCAAACTGGAATCCAGGGACTCAATGAGAGATATTGGCGTGTCGCACCCTAATTCAACGACTCTCTATAGAGTTATAGCGTTATCAGGACCTTGACGTGGGAATCATAGAGAATCGGAAGCTCATTGAATAATCTATGATATCAATTGTCGAAGATACGCTTCCGATGAGTTTAACTTTTTTGATGTTTTTGACGTAACATCGGGACACGACCATGGTAATTATCGCCAGCAGGGAATGGAATGAATTTTTAGCAGGGCGATTCAATTAATAGACGATTCAATATTTTGGCAGGTCTTTGACAAGGCACGACGGCGAATCTGATAACTCCTTTCACTCTCGCGACAGTAAACAATATATTTTCGAATTTTTATATTACCGCATACTTCAATTTTCGAAATTCTCATGATCTAAGATAAGTTTTCCTAAACAAATGTATTACTTTCGCCTCTGTCATTCCTGACGGTCGGTCAGTTCTTTGATCTTACAATTAGATGTATTTTATTTTATAAAATTCCGATCTTGCCCGATTCAGTCTCGACCGATGAATTCGCCACTATTTCCTTCCCAGCCAAGTCGATCCAGTCGCTCGTGAATCTTGCAGAAAATTCGTATATTGACGTTAAAAGCAGGAGCCAAAGTGTAAAATGTGTAAGAAAAAAAGTAAATCCTAGAGGAAAGCACTGGATTTCTCGGTGAAATAAAATCCCGTATTCCCGAGGCGTTTCATGTTTGTCCGAGGCGCAGGACGGCCCCCCATCGTGTTCGGCATATTTTTCTAACTTAAATCAGAGGTAGAGACGGCATATTAATGAAACATAATTCCCATAAATGCCCCGTAGAAATAAGCGTAACATCCGCCGCGCACGTGATGGCGTTACGCGTAACCCGGTCCAGTTTGGGTTTCCATGGGAAACAAATTGGAATTTCGGGCCAGAGATAGGTCGATTTTTGTACGTTGCACAGATCATTCCTTTATTTTGGTTACTCTGCTTCCTCAGGCTATGATACTCAAAACACTTCCTTATCCATCCTCCATTCGCTCTCCCTTGCCAACTCACACAGAATCCCAAACACAGCTAATCCTCCCACACATTCTTAGAAGCTGCGCTCACAGAATGATGTATCTTTAATGAACTCATGGACACACAGGTAGGTTGTGGAAGCCTGAGCGATTTATCGCGGGCTTGGTAATGCCACTCGGAATGCAAATAAGGGTTGGATCAACCAAACTGCGGAACTGCGGAACTGCGGAACCTCACGTGGGCCCCCTGCCACATGTATGAATTACTTGCAAATATGCTTTTTCTCTCTCTTTTCCTTCCTGCGCGATGCTCGTACTTTGTCGCCCACCAATTCTTTACTTAGCACTATTTCTAACGGGAAGGTATAAAGTAGTGGCGGTAAGTACACCTCGTAAATCTACCGGCTGAAGAATTTCTTGAAAAACCAGACCTGATGCCTTCATTCGTTTATACGTGTAAACTTGAACTCCGAGTGCGGCGAGTGTCTCGAGTCTCTCGTTGATACATTTTTAAAAATCATCTTCAAAATTCTCACTGCAGTTTATCGTCAAAGTCTCCACGTCAGAGAATCTCTTTGTTCGATTCGCCATGGACTTTTGTCTCGCCGGAAAAAGCAAATGACTTTCAGCAGAAGGAACGACGGTCCTCTTTCCCTTTGTTAAAGGAAATAAAAGCAAAAGTGCTAGAAAAGTTTTCAAAATAAAAGGAGGCTACAAAAATTGGCAAAAATTTCAAGTAATCCAAAGCTACATACAGCATCCTTTTGGTTCTTGCTAATTTTCCCTGCTCGTTTCAATCGATCGGCAACACACAATAGAAATGGAATTGGGATTCTGCTTATTCGTTCTTTTGGCAATATTGGAAAGTAGCAGTCGAGAGCTTACAGCATCTTATTCGAAAATTGATTTTTTTTTTTTCGTGAACTCGAAAATCAGGCAGATGACGAGCTGTTAATCTTGGGGCTCGGTAAAGAGATTTTAACTTGTCAAATTCCAGGAAAACAACCCTCTCGGCCGTCTTCCTAATTGACTCTCCTGTACACAAATCTCTCGAATTCCGCGGGTTTCGCTCATTTCGCTCTGCTCATTTGCCTTTCATCTCTCATTTTTGACTCTGCGATAAATCTTCCTATGCGAAGAAAGTTCTCGCAATAGCGCACAAGATTAGGTTAATATGGATGCCAACGTCGGAGCCCTGGCGAACGGATTAATTCGCCAGTATTCCACTGCTCCACTGCTCCACTGTTCCACTGTTCCACTGTTCCACTGTTCCAGTAGTTGGAAACAGTCCGAAGTGAAGGTAACTAGACTCTAACGATTCTCTAATAGGTTTAGCTATTAAGAATTAGCTAATGCGCTTCGAGCGAAGTCCTTGAGCAAAGTGCGAGTGCACCTCCCTGCGAGTCCAATCGATCATTCGAGTAAACGTCAACGCTGCCAAACTTCTTTCATACTTTTTCTGCTAATTACGACTTTGTAAAATAGCTAATCGATGCTTTCACAAAAAACAAGGATAATTTCATTGGTCCCTTTGCCCAGCTTTGCCCATAACTGTCCGCTTACCGCTTAGCTCATTCTTAAGTAGTTCGGTTGCTTTCGACGGAGACGAAAAAGAATTATTATAAAAAAATGGAAGAGGGAAAGTTCGTTGTGCTCAGGACGTCAGGATAGATAACGGGGGGATTCAGGGGAAAGGGTTGAAAGCGGAGCCAGTGGAATCTGGCCCGGAGCCAACGGAGCCAACGGAGCAAACGTGTTATTTTATTTGAGCTAATGAATTCGATAGATTGAAAAGCAAGCATGAATGATATTGAATGCTCTCGTGATCCGTGACTCTGTCCGATAAAATTAAATCCTCGAATTGGACTCAAAAGAAAGCGAGGCCTGTCACGCGAGCTGCCCTAGAACAAAAAAGGCTAAGACTTCTTTTATTCACGCTCGGTGCTTATTTAAGACACTTCAAAAGCTTCAAAACTTTATTGATTCTCGAGATAAGTTTGATCAGACGTCGAGCATTGATATCTTCATATCTTTTAAATTTATATATTTTTGCCTCAATCAAACCTTTTTGGTCTTTTTGGTAAAGCACACGTATGTACGTTTCAGGATATTAGAGCCATTAGAGCAGTCGTGAATCTTACCTGTAACCGTACGCTTCTCTCGGCGAAGGGGAACTTTCGTGCAGGTGACTTAAACTTCTTATGGAATCGATGACATCCACGGAATTTTTCTATTGATTTTTTATCAAACGAACAATCACACTTTTCACACGGACATCGATGATGAGTATCGCATAACTTTCGATAACGTTCCCCATTGTCGAGAAAAAGACACATTGTCCAACACCTCCGAAGATTACGCACTGGCAAAACTGGCAAAACTGGCAAATTATCATCAGCTGAGATTTCGGCTGACAGTGCACAGTGATGCACTTGGAGTTTCCAGTTGAATTATAATCTGGGTGCACTTGGATGCTGTGATTTATGACGTCCCTCGATGTCCCCGTCCATTATCTTTAATCCGTAATAAACTCGGTTCGTGCTGGCAAAATAATTTTCTTTTCTCTTGCAAAATAATTTCATTGTTGTGAGCCACCTCGGCAAAAACCTTCAAATTTATGAAGTTTATCAGACGGGGATGCAGTTATTAGGGCACAGTAATTTGCTTGAATGTGAAATATTAGGGCTAGCCAGATCTTCTTTAAGTGTCGTTCTAGTTAATGGACGAGCAATGGGGAGAAATTGTAAACTGGATGATACCAGCAGGTACCTGAACTTGCTATCGCGCTTCTGGCACACAAATTTTCTCACTTTCTTAACCAGTGGAAATTTTTCGTTTCATTACTTCAGGTTGTCGACGCGACACGGACGCAAATCTGTGTCATTTTACGGGGCCAAAGTTTGGCTAAGCAGTTGGCTACCAGACAAGCGGCGCTACATTAATTTCCTAGACGATTTCGATGGAGTTTTGCGATTTGTGATACAACTGCGAAAATGGAAGCTCGTCACTTTTTATCCTGCTTCGCTATATAATAGCTGTGCATAAATCTCCAAGAAGTTGAGGGACAAGGAGCCTCTCGGTTCAAAACGAACGCGTGTAAGGGAAAGAGAGCACTAGGTTACTGCGACAGTACAATACATTTTCAATTGTTTCTCATTCATTGACGTGTCTCCGAGTAAACGAAAAAAAAGAAAAAAAAAGAAAAAGAAAAACCGAGTAGAGCAAACGAACGAGCGACGGAAGTTTGAGGCGTGTAGAACGAACGACATAAAAACTTCACTAAAGAACCGCGAGGAGGTTATCAGGTTGAAGGAGGAGCATTTGTATCGCACCTGGTGAAATGTCTCCCTAGACTCCGAAGGTTAAACGATATCGCGGGCAAAAGAAGTGGCGACGGACGCTGCGAGTCCAGCGTAGAGCAGAAGCTAGGAATGCGAGCTGCTGATCGTGATAAGAGGTTTGGGGTTTGAGCGTTTGCGGCCCGCGGCGCACTGACGGGTCGCTTTTACTGCGAAAACCTTTGGCTCTCTCGGCTGCTGCTTCGAATCCGCCTCCGTTGCTCAGGCTCGCCCCACGTTCACTTCTGCACAGCCGCACTCTTTTCGACTGTAGGACGGCTCCCAAGGCTTTCGTACTTCTATCGCTACTTGGGACTTTGAAGGAGCAACTTCCGTCGCGGCGCAGCTGCCTTATCAAGGTCTGACACACCGAGGGATATTTGAAAAGCGGCGAGAAATACGGAAAAGGGACGAAAGTCGGGGAAGGCAAGTTTCGCCTTCGCGGAAAGTTCGAAAGTCTCGTGGGAGGTAACGGTGGTGATCCATTTGAAAAGTGGGAAACTTCAATGGTATCCAGTAGAATGGGCTGCCTCGGGCATGAAAGAGTCGGACTAGCTGGCCGAATGAATGAAAGCAAATTGTCCGATTTAAAAGGTAAAAATAGAAATTGCAGAAGAATGCGTAGGGTG